TCTTTATTATAATAATATGACATAATAATTTTATGCAAGTTAACCCACGTTGATGAGAAATTTGAGGCGGTATGTCCGTTTCATGGAAAATCTGTCAACTTAAAGAATCAAGCAGTTGGTGCACCGTAAGGTCTTCTGTTAAGGTCCTCTTGTTAAAAGTTAAAAGTTTGCACCGTCTGAACAGCCATCGACAATTCGTCATTTTATTTATCGGGTTAATGTAGTTTGTTATCAAGTTTTTGTGCTAAATAAAAGTAAAGGTCAGAACCTGTCAGATTTTGTATGTGCAGTTAAGTGCACCTTGTTATTGCAAATTTTTGTACAATCGACCGCCTGAGTGCGGAATAATTTGTCTAAACAAGCTTCAGTTTTGATTTGCTTGAGCTAGCTGAGCAGGTGTTTTGTGGGCGGTATAGTTGAACGCTTTCCAAGGCACACATCAATACTTTAACATGAAAATAAAGTTGCCACCAAGCAAATAATAGTTTTAAACAACTAAAACGAGTAATTTTTAATTAAAACAGATATTAAATCAGGCGCTGCAAAGTACTTGCTTAGAACGGCAATATCATTTCTTAGTATTACATTACAATAGCGATTGAAATGGCATAACTTAAAACCAATCAAATAAATGAATTACTGGCGATACATATCGCATTATGGGAACAAATTAAAAGTGAAAAAATTCGGGTTCGGTTGATTGAAACCGTCCAATCCGCATTGTGGTCGCTTCTAAAATGCCCACAACGAAAAATATTTAATTACGGTGTATGGTCATTTAAGTTCGTCCATAACGCGTTATTCGCCCATTGAGCATTTTCGATATTTGTGCGTTGATCCTTCAATTCTTTCAAGTTTGCACTTTAACATTGAAATTGCTGTAGCTGGTTACCGGAGTACAACAAATAGCGTATGTACCACAAGACTAAAGTTCGTCCTAATCCCTCGGGCACTTCTGCACCCTAAAAACACAGACTTTAGTCCCTTGGTATATAATATACTATTAATAACTCATTTATTCGTCAATATTTCTATTGTAGGATTATTTAAGTGCCAAAATGTATTTAAATAATTTGACCATTCGTACTAGTTATACAGAGATATATTTTTTTAAAAGAATACATGTATAATTCTCTTGTGTCATTGAATAAAAATGTTATTCAATTCCTATGTATCCTTTCACCCCTTTCAGATGGACTTGTTCAAAGCATTATAGACAATGTAGGCAAGTTTATTCATGTATTCATTATTCATTATTTCGTGTAATAGCAATATTATTCCTAAGCGTTAAATTTTCTTTTATACTATGCGATAAAAAAGAGTTGCTGTGGAGTCACCTTTTACATGGGAAAACATATTTTCGCGCTTCTTTCTCTGTACTGAAGCCGTCATTGTGCAGATACTAGTCAAATTAGTTACAGAATCTTTTACGACTCCCCTATAATCACTTTGCATCTCTATGCTATTTCAAATGGTTAGACGGGCTTAGACCGCAAGTAATGCACATTTCTATGTATAGGTATTTCGATCCTTTCAATATTTCTTTTACTGCATTTTTCTATAATGAAATCTGTAAATTACTTACGTGGTTCTAATGTAATTAGTGAACAAAATTATTAATGACCAATTGCACCATCAAAATTAAGTATCGCTTAAAATTAAGCTTACATGCCATAGGGTTGGTATTGATTTTTAGTTCGACGTTTAATTTTGATGGTGCAACTGGGCATAAGTCTCGCCAGGAAAGAATGCCGATCACAGAACACTTGATACCGGTCTACAATTGGGGTTTACAGTATAGTTAAATTCCGTAGTTCTAATTTAATAAGCGTATACCTGAAACCATAAAACAATTTTTTGGACAATAACAGTTTATTTAAAAATAGCGGCTGATTAGAAAAAAAATAATTAACATGTGCAGTATTAGGGGTTTCTTAGGGGGTTCCTACGACCATTTTTATCGCTGATAAAAAGCTACACGGTGAAAAGGTATTAGTTAGATGAAGTAAAATTTCTTTAATACAACAAAATAAAGATGTCGCTATTTCACGACTAAATATTTCATTCCCGCAAGAGAAATATTTTGTCAATATTCAAGTATTTTGTTAATTTAAGAAACGTTGCGTTGATTGGAGCATATCTCTAAGTTCTCAAACACCATGTATAACTCTCGCCAAGAAAGATTGCCGGTCACAGCACACCTTGTGTCGATTTACAGTCTTTGTTTTTATTAAGATGCGAGCGACTTCTGGAATAGGATCGTGCTAATGTTGAACAAAAAGTCTTTTCGTTGTACATTGACACGATACTATTCCGGAAGTCGCTAGCACTTTACGAAAAACATAGATTGTAGATCGGGATCAAGTGTTCTGTGACCGGCAATCTTTCCTGGCGAGAGTTATAGACGCCTTTTATCGGTATCGTTTTAATGCTGTTATGTAATATTACGCTAATAAGTAAAAAAAAATAAGCATGTGCCATTTGTTACCTAATGGATGAAACGTTATGGAAAGCAAGGGGCATGTATATCTCTCGCCGCATTTCTGGAAATAGGTAATTTTCACGAAAAAATTTATCATTTTAGATCCGAAATACCCACAACCGTGCAATTTATTACTATATAATTTATTTGATCTATATGAAAAATTGTGCTATGTTTCTAAAGGTTTGAAGGGATTTTTTCTGTTATAAAACAAGCGCTACTGCATAATGTGATGCAAAATATGTTATGTAAAATAATATACGAAATACCCAGAATTGTACTTACCCGTCGTCAAAGCTAAAGGGAACTGGTTAGAGGCGAATTTCCCCTTCTTACATGTGTTGTTGTTTACCTGTATTATACCTACTCCATAATGTTATTTTTAGTGTCTAACTGAATCTAAAAGAAATAAGTGATAAATTAAATCATCAGCAATACTTGATTAGGTATAATTTAACGGAAGTATTAACCTAGAGGCCCAGGGTTAAATTAGGATAGATGGATAGGTCCAGAGATAAAAAATAGTCAAATTTGTCTTGTTTTAATATTATACTGGCATCGTTATGCACAGAGTCTATCATATGCACATAGGCGCGCAAGTGTCACGTATGCGGCAAACCTCGCCAACTTCTGTAAGTAGCCCAATAACAAGGTGTTACATTATAAGTACATATGTAAAACAAGCATAAATTGTACACAAGTCTTACCGAAATAGCTTAGTAAATGGTTGCGTTATAAGGTAGTAGCATGCTATATTAATTGAGGTTTCGTTCTTGTTAGAGAATTAATAGGGAAACTTCACCAATAGATATGTTTCGTCCAGACAATTCATTATGCCTTTGTGGTTACTTTCCTCCGACAAAACATTTTTGGGATATACAGTGATATTCATTTAGAAGTAGACAGGGATTTTCTGTATGTCTACTTTTAAATGACAAAAACTCTTCTGAAGTACGCCTAATTTTATGCAACCAAAATAACTTCATAAAACAAATGAATTTGCTGTCATAGTGTCATATTAATTAATTGGAATATTATTGCTTTGGCTTTCTGATTGTTATTTTCGTTCGTGTTCGATGTATTCAACTTACGAAAAAGTTGTTATTGTCAATTGGTATAGTTCCGGTAATAGTGGATATGCGATCCACATAGACACCGTAAACAACTCTTACTTTTAACGGAGGATATGAAACTGAATGATTTAATTTTTGTGGAAGAGAATCCCATAAGAAACTTAAGAGAAATAAAAGCATACTATTTACTGTCGCTTTTATTAAAATCTAAAATGGTAATGCAAAATGCGTGCGCATGTTATTTCGGTTGCATAAACTTAGGCGTCTCTCGGAAGCATTTTTGTTATTTAAAAGTTGACATAGGAAATCCCTATGCCTACTTTTCTAAATGAATAACATTATATAAGTTTTGACATCACTAATAGATAGATTTCTTCCAGACGTCCCAATCGCCCTATGTGAGATATAAGGAATTATTTATTTCCTTTCGTTTTCAGTTTTGCACGTTTTGCATGCAAAAACAGCAATAGGAAATAATTCATGGGGAGGCCTTCCTTTGAGACAGCGAAATTTGATAGCCATCTGGCACAACCTCAAGATATAGGCTGCATATTGCAAAAAATTCCAAGACTCTAAGACCATTCCCCTAAAAGTAGTTCAAAACCGCAGAAGTGGGTCCGGATAGAGTGACAGACGTACAGACGGACGGACGGACGGACAAAACGCAACATTTTTTTAATTCTTAAAAATGCAATAAAAATTGGACGGAAGGAGGATCAAACCAATAATGTTTTCTAAATAAACCCACAGGATCCAACGTGTTTCGTTAGGGAGTCACCGTAAAAAAAAAGTGGTGAAATTTCTTCTTTAATTTTTTCTCACCAACCATAAGAGTTAACTGGTGATACGTCTTTGAATAGGTTTTGGGGTACTCTTTCCGATTTTGCGCAAAAAATCTGACTTAGACGAAATTTTGTATCTGAGAATTTTTGCAAATGAAAATCACGAACCGGACATTAGTTTTTGAAAAAATTTGAAAATTTGTAAGTGCTAAGAAACAAATTAAAGAAATGCAAATTTTACCACTTTTTTTGGGTGGCCCCCAAACGACACGTTGGAAGAGTAAAAAAGCATGCGAAGACGTTAAACGGTGAAGAGTTGAGCTAGGAAGCTGTTGTGTCAAGAATTTGGCACATTTTTGAAAGTAGTAAAACTTGCCAGACGTTTGTCGCATCTGTAGCCAGCAGATATTTTTCACTCATTCCATATATAATTTCTGTAGTGCTCTCTTTAATCCGCGATGAATTTTCGTTATCGTCGAGTAAACAAATGAAAATGATCTTATGGAAAACATCATTTTCGTTGTTTATTTGCCAAACAATCCCAATTAGAGAAGATAGATTATTCAGAATAACGTTATCGTTGTTTTTTTAGCTTCGGAGATAAACACATTGTTAGCCAACATTAAATTAAAGGATCAATGGTAATTAAAATGTAACACTTACCTAACATCTTGAGAACACGCCGAGATGTCTGGATCTGTCGTTGTTTTACAGATTCACTTCTTTTGCTCGCGGCAGTCGTGGCGTCATTGCGTCTTCGGAAGTCCCATTGAACCTTTTTCATTTTATTCGAGCTCCTTAGTCTCATTCCAATGAGTACATACAATATTGTAATTAAGCTCATCGGTCCGATGAAAAACACAAACGTGGAAAATTCAAACGAATGAGGAATGATAGTCCTCACAGCGTCGCATTTCGTACTTTCTGGAATTCCATTGATACTAACAACTTCAAACTGAAGCGCTTGCGGCACGGCAAACACAATTGAAACTAACCAAATGATAAGTATAAATTTGACCGCTCTGGAGAGTTTTGACATCGTATGTGATAAGAAGGGGTGGCATATTGCGATATACCTTTCAACTGTAAATGCAGTTATTGTGAGCACGGTCGCGTTTGCAGAGGTTTCCGAAAAAAGTCCTCTGAGCACACAAAAAACTTGCCCAAATACGTAAGGATACCGCGACCATATGCAGTATACCTCTTGAGGAAGACCTGACACTAAGAGCAATAAATCGGAAATCGCTAAACTAAATAGATAGTAGTTTGTGGCTGTATGCATAGATTTGTTACGAGATATCACAACACATGTACTTATATTTCCTATGAGACCAGTAACAAAAATGATCACGTAGATTATAGTAATTGGAATAACAACATTTAAGCTGTCCCGTTTTGGTCCATATAATTTCCTAATAAATTCACTAGAATTATTGTAGTCCAACTGTGTATAATTTTCTGTCGCACTTTCTATCAAAGTTGTTTCCTCCATTTTTCAACTTCACATAAGCACTACTAAAATTTTGCGTACAGAAACGCGGTTTCCGCGCCTGTACAGAGCATTACTATGTGTCAGCCTTCACCGCCAGGAAAGTTGGACGAACTGATGCTAAAACAAATCTGTTTTCACGATAGGGAGTTGCTCTTTCAATTGCGCACATCTATTCCTACGTATTCCTATAACCAAATAGGTAATCCCTAATTCATCTCCTTACTTGAAACACTTTAATCAGTTGTTTCGAGTGCACGTGAATGTTAAAGCATTTCTATACTAGCAAAACAACTATGTATCAAATCTGAACAGGGATGGAACTTTTTGTCAATTGCCAGTTTACATAGGTACGCTGGAGGGTACGCTAATGCATCATTTTGGCATTCTCAATCATAAATTTGCCTCTAGCTTCGCCCCAAAAGATATGAATCTTTCCAAAAGGAAATTTCTAATGAATTTGTACAATTGACAACTGTTGTAGTGTTTCTTATTTATTTATTTATGCAAACAAATTATCCGAGCTTGAGTACAGGCATTATGTAATTGTACCATGATCTAGAAAATGACTGGTTATTACCTTGGGCTGAGAGAGGATAAATGACGGGACCGATTATTTTTACCAGTACGATTAATTACTTGTGAGAAACATTTAAATGGAAAAAAAAAGGTATAGTCTAATGATCTAACTCATATTAACTTAACTGTCTATATCAATATTTTAAACGTAAATTTCTTCAGACCATTAAACTTGGGTCACCGAGAAACATTCGCAACTTTGGAATGGATTTGGCGTGCTATTAAAAAAAAGTAAATTCGATAAATACCTAGGAATAACATAGCATTTAAAGTATATGTTAGAAGTAAGCTCTTTACGTCGCTAAACTTAGGTTTGCCTTTGCAATTCGAGCTGTGCCAAACCTCTCCAGGCAAAAGTTCGAGGTTATTTCGTATTACGGACATTGCCTGATGTGTAATCCGGCAATCTTATGTTTGCCAGCTGTGGGTTAGGAATGTTCGAAATCATTTTGTATAGATATTTAAAGTTATTAATACAGGGCGTCCCAGTGGAAATCGATACATTTTAACCGTAGAGAAAATAAGATAGAAAATTGGAGAAGAATTGCAGTTATTGTTAACCTTAAAAAAAGGAAAGTTTGTGTGTTTGTGATAAGAAGAATTTGGTGAAAATGGGAGACAGACTGTCTCGAAGTACGAGCGAGAACGCAAAGAGTTTTCGTTATGATGACAGCGAACGTGTGCCATTAAAACATTAGAACTCGATATTTAGAGTCATGTCTCAAATAATTTTAAGCGCAATATTTATATTATTTTTGGGCAATGTCTACCCTTTAGTCTCGCACTCAAAACCCTTAAACTCTCTTTACTGTAACGCCGTTTTACTAAGTATCTTTTTCGATATGTTTATTTCTATAGATTTAGTGAAAAATAAACACTATATACAGGCTGTTTCACGCAAACCGTTATCTAAAAGTATTTAGACTTCCATTAATAATTTAAATGTGACAATTTTCATACCAACATAGTTTTTCATGATTTATCGAAAGAAAATATTATCATAATCGTTTCACTTCCGGTTTTATCGGATGTGGATAGCAACTTACTTATTTTAAATAGAACACCCTACATTTTATTACATTTTCGAAATGTACATGAAACTCTACGTCGTTTGATACCAATTTCCCTATACCTAGCATCAAAGGTTTTGAAGTTATTCGAGATTTTTCAAAATTTTTTACGATTCACTGCTTTTTTTAGCCCCTGTAATTTCAAAAAATCTTTCAAAATCAACAATACTGACGTGATGCTACATACGAATAATTTAAATTTTGGCCGCTCTTTTACAGGGTGTTTTAAAATTAATGGTCAAGTTTAATAACTTCAAACCAAAGTTGATTTTTTAATGAAACCTGCTTTAGTTTTTTGCACTTTCAAATGTGGAAAAAAATTCTGCATCGATCAATTATTACATTCCCTATATCTATCTGTTATAGTTTTCGTTTTATTTAAGGTTTTCTAAAATTGTGACCGTTATATGCATAATTTTCTTAGGAGGCCTTGAGATAAACACGTTAGCAGACCTTCGCTACTCGTTGCTCATGTTAGTTTATATCATTTAGTATGAAAAAATACTTTAATGAATACAAAGTTAAATAAACGTGTAAACAAATATCGAAATATGCTATAGCATGTACAAAACCAAATTTTGAACCTGGTGGTAGTTTTGCTTTTATTTAATTTAAAGTGTTTATAGGAAATATCATTTAATTGCTTCCATGAATAAGAAAGTTGGCAACTGTTCTTCAAACGGTTTGACAGCTGAAGAAGATTTCAAAAATACGACTTTTAAAAATAGTGATGGAAGGTATGTTGTTGAATTGCCATTCAAGAGGGGCGCACTCTCTTTCTCTGGATCTAGCGATATTGCCTTAAAAAGATTTGTACCTATCTCAAGACAGTGTTTAAAAGAATATTTAACTTTAAGACAAAAGAGATCCTTGGCTTTCCCAACTCAAAATGAAGATACATTTTATTATATCCCTCACCACTGCGTTCTAAAAGTTGAATGCTGTACCACAAATCTTAGAGTGGTGTTTGACGCTAGTGCGGTAGATGTGAATAATAAAAGTTTAAACGATTCCCTTTTAACAGGAGCCAAATTTGCAACACGATATTCAGCCCTGTGATGGATCAGAAACGTGCGTTATTTAGTATAGGCATACAGGAAATTGCTACGGGGGTTCCTTCTGGACTTGAAAATTACCATCGGTTCCGCCCGGCAAGGCAAACCGTCTTCTTCTCAGGCTGCTCAATCGATAAAAATAAATGCTCCGGCTAACTCAAATCGGTGGGCTTTTAACTCTTTTGAAACTGCGTAACAAACCTTAACCTGCCGCCTACCAGTCTCCTGCCTCAACTCCTACTCCTCTCTTTCCTTCCCCTCGTTCTTCGTTAAAGACATAGGCACATTGAAACCAAATAGATAATATATTGAAATGATATTAGAGATACAAACAAATTACAGGGATCTAGCAATTCTTCTCTCCTCCTTGTAAAAAAAATAGCTTAACAATGACAACTAAACTAACTAAAAATCCTACCAGGTGAGACTAATTTACTCAAGGGGTGGCCATCCTCTACAGTTTGAAAATTTCAACAACAGGTCATTGGTTTTTACTCCAGCGTGGGCTGGGACTTATTTAAATAAACACAAAAATTTATCCTACTCTTTGGTAATCGTTCATTGGACTTTAATAAACAATCAAATCAAAATTATTTACTATAGCTTCATTACCAAAAAGTGGAATTTTACAGAACGTTACAAATTTAATTAGACTAACCTTTACAACATTTGTACAACCGATCTTGTGAACTGCTCTTTCCTCTGGTACAGGGTGGATGTGATGAAACCTGACACTTAGGTCTCTGTGACTTCCTAGGGGGTGGCTTGAAATTAACGCACGGAAACAAAATCCACGGTGCCTATCCTTCCTCGGACGAAAGCAAAGTTTAGTGTTTGAACCGAAGCTTAGTCCAGGAATCCTTCGCGTGGCGAGTGGGAGACGGCTAGTTGCCAAAGTTTCTACACAGCGGTGTATTTAATTTAAACAGTGACCCCTACTATTTCCTTCCACCGGCTCTTAGAGTTTATTAACTTTGATCGCCTGCGGGAGACAGATTTTTGAGTTAGCGGCACGGCAGAACACAAATTTTTATGAGCGCTATCCGACGGTAAACCGCGATTTGTTCTTGGGTGGTTCGACTTATTAGTTCACCAGCTCTTCTTGGGGCAAATATCTCTCCAAAACGCAGCGCTCCTTCGACAAATGACCGTACGACACTAGTAGGAAATTCCACCTGGGGCGGATCCCGAGTATCGGCGCCTTGAGGACTAGGGCAGCACTTTGAATTATATATCCTCGAGAAATCACAACGTATCCTAACGCGATTCACTGCATCCAAAGTAAACTGGGGTGAAGCTCAAGGGTTCGCCAAAATATCACCTGATCGGAACCTGGGTCTTCGTCGCCCAGAAATCAACGCGAAAAGAAAATAACACTTCGAAACGGGTGCAAAAAGCACGCAACTGCGAGCAAGCGAAATAAACCGGTGGCTCAAAACGCTAAGTGTACCAAAACGATCACTCAAGGTACGTGTTGACCGCTTGACGTACTAACTGCGAGTCTTTTCAAAACGATTGCTCAAGGTACGTGTCGACCCCTCGACGTACTAAACTCGAGTCTCTTTAAAACGATCACTCAAGGTACGTGTTGACCCCTCGACGTACTAACCGCGAGTCTCTTCAAAACGATCGCTCAAGGTACGTGTCGACCCCTCGACGTACCAACCGCGAGTCTCTTCAAAACGATCCCCTTCTTCAGAATTGAAATGAGAAAACCACACCCAAATTACCATAAAACAAAAATGGCTCCCGCTAGAAATTCTCCCATTGGTTTAGATAAAGAAGACTTAACCCACTCTAACTTCGTCGTCAACCTCCAGGAACTGCTGAATAAACTGATCTCACGGTTTTCTGCTGACGAATTTAAAACCCCTTATCTCTTGATGGCTCGGTGCTATATCCGCTCCTATTCTCGGTCTAGACGGCGCCTTGGGTGATAAACGAACGACAAAAAACTCGCATTACTCATGATGACGTCAATCAACTTTGCACTCTTCCCACGACGAAATTAAATCTGAGCGAAATTAAATCTATCGGACCATAGTCTTGAGCGAACCGAAATGCCCAAACACAAAATTTCTAACCGCAACAAATAATGAAATATACAGGGTGACCTTCACTATCATGACAAGAAATTTCGAATTTTTTAATGAAATTTGGCGCGAAATAAAACCACTCGTTACAAAATACATAGGTAAAATAACATTTTCTATAGATAACCTGCACTAATTATCTTTAAGTAGGCACATTATTACAATTTAGGTTTCATTCCATAGTTGCTCTATTTTAGTCGGGAATCTGGGAGTCGGGAAAAAAATTCGAACATGGTATGTGCACTCAAAGATATACATTTTGAAAAATACGTATCTTGTGCAGAATTAGATGCCGATTCTGAATCACGCTTTTTGAAAATTTGTCACGGCCTAACCGTAATAGCGCTAGCTTTAGGGTGGAATTCATAGACATTACTTAAGTTAGACTTACACTTTACTAAGTGCACACTTAGTTTAGTTTAAGTGGAACTTATATTTACTGCTAGTATCTGTCCGAATTTCGCGCGTTACTATAGCAATAATGTCATGCGTCACCTTAACTATATCTTTGAAACGCGCTAAGTATGAGTAAAGTGTAAGTGTAACTTAAGTAATATCTATGAATTCCACCCATAATTCAAGTGGCGCAATTGAGCGCATAACCAAATGTATCAGGTGACCTAGTTACAAGCGACAAAATACGTACTGGGGAGGGCTACGTTCAGTTGGCCTCCCCCCAAATGTTTTTTCGAATTTCTAAAAAACGATAATGGCGCAAGAGTTATTATCGGTGGCGCATATGAGCGCATAACGAGCGCATTCATTTTAAAATAATACGACTACCAAATCTCTCAGTGGGGGGGCCAAGTTAACGGACCCGAGGAACCTAAATCCAAATTTTGAAGCAAATCCGTCGAGGCGCGAAAAATTACACGGCAAAACGGTCATTTACTGGCCTACTAGTGTTAGTTTATAATTTGTGGTAAAACAGAAGCAATGTTTGTAGATTATAAATAAGTAAACGATTTACTGAAAGCATGATGATACACCACTGCAATTAAATAAATGATCATCAGTTAGTACCAACTTCATAATTTTTATGATTTGCGGGAAATTCAAACTGTCATCACTTCTAATGAATCACTCGGTATAAGAACAATGCAAAACTGCATTGGTATTTTTTACTGAAATTTCTGACCGATATATTTGAATATAATTTTAATATTTAAATCGATTTTCTAGTTTACATAATATTTAACTATCTATACCTACGTGGTATGTTGTTAGATTTATTTTCAATTGTAAAAATAATGAAAATCGAAAAGCTGAAAATTTTTCTCTATTCGAATTAGAAGGTGCACTTTTGATTCTATAAGAGATGAAAAAAGAACTATCCATACGAATAATGCGCTTTATTAGCAGATTATAAATCGCCAAAAGCCATGTAGATCGTGCAAATAGAACTCCAGTAAGTGATCCTTTATATTGGTTTTATCAACGGCTCTAATTATATCCAAAATTATGATAAATATCGAAAATCAAAATCCGTAGGAATAATCTGTGTTATATTTCCTACAATATCCAACATCGAAATAATTTTCATTCAAAGCAACTGTACACGGTAAGTGAGAAAATACCGTCCTTTTATACTTGGTAGCTTTCGGCAAGATCTTATTGATGGTTTCCTTATTCAATAAACACTGATCTGCCAACAAAAATGCGCTGAAGTCCCTTCGATCTCACACGAGGACTTTGATAATTTTCTTTGTATGAGGCCACTTTGTGTCGTTCGCATTTAGAAAATAGAATCACGTTTGTTACTTTTAGACAATGTAAAATTAATCAGACTTTAATTTGACACCATTCAATTATTTATGTCTCAAACTCGAATCTATATACGTACGGTATACGTCGACAATACTGTAAAAGTGAATAAAGCTATATATTTTGCGGCATCCATCAAAATTACCATTATTACTATTATTCTCCTCAGAAAAGGATATCGGATACCTACTTTTGTTATTAATCGTTACATAGTTGATGGTAAATTTCCGTGAGAGATTGACGGAATGTGTAATCCAAACGGTTCGGGTTTACTGAGAGATGAGAAGCAGAGCGACATAAAAGCCCGCGGCCTCTACTACTCTCTGTTAGCTTTCTACCCCATTATGCTTTCTAGTCGTTTGCTGTCCTCTCCTGCTTAATTCAAAATCTCAACCAAGAGGCTGCGGATTTTGCTACAAACATTTTGGTTAGTTGTGTCTTGCGAAGGTATATTTTTAGACTATGCATTCAATAGAAGTTCTGGGACTACGAATAATGAAATTTTTGTGCACTAATTATTTAATACATTATTATATTAGATAAAAGAAAAAAATTGGCAATTTATGGAAATTTATCCTGTAAGCCCAGAACAAGAAAGGGGTAATAAATAACAAAAAAAACTTTCACAATTGTTGGAATATACGAATCGCAAATACCTTCCAAAGTACTTTTTTATAACTTATTCGTTCAATACAATAATTGGACGCATCTACTTGTTTCATTCGTTTCATTTTTAATTAAGTTTCATCAAATAATTCATTAAAATGGAACTAAATCTTTTTCTACTTGTTCTAAAAGTATCTAATATTTTGCCCGCAACTTGTCTTTGTCTCCAGTTTGTAATTATCCGAGCTACTGCATAATTTCCTTATACTACAGAGATGTCTTCCAGTGAAGAAGCATAGTAGGTGCCAGATAACAGACAGTCTTCTACGTACTGAACTATGTCAGACTTTTTTATGGGTTCACTAGGCTTAGAAGATAAACTTGGTTGTAGAAACTTTCACTCGATTTTATGGAGACCCAAGAGAATGGAAAATTTTTATTTTTCCCTTAATGGGGTTTCAAATCTAAATGGGAATCTGACTTTCAATTAAACTTTTACTTAACAATTTCGATTAGCCGTCAATCATGCCTTCCCGTTTAAATGCCCCTGCGACTATCTTTTGTGGCGGATAGGGATTTCGCTTTAGTCTTCATGTCATTAATCTTGCGTTAATTACCCCGCCTTAATAAATAGTTCACCTGAGCTATGCTACTTTTCATCGATATTTTCATCTTATATTTTGGAATTTCCGTTTCGTTGTATCTACATATACAGGGAATGTCAATGTCAAATTAGGGTTAGCTATTAGTCTTTCTTTTTATTAATAGTATCAAATGGTGGTTTTCTAACACAAATATGTACTTATATCAAATGTACCGGGTTGTTACAAACTCTCCTTTTCTCCTACTTCTTCTGGTTGATAAAATCGAGGGTGGTTCTTATGATGTAGTTATATAAATATGGCCCGGCTGCTCGTCAGTTAACAATCCTCTTCTGGCCCCAAGGATAAGGGGTAAGGGATGAATAATAAACCCAATAATCTTTATTAAAGGTTAACGGTTCTTATTTTAATACCGCCTTTACTGCGTTGATTTATCAATCGACGTTTACTGTAAGAGAACACATTTGAGTAAATGGGGTTGAGGCGAAACGATTGCTGAAAAGGTAAATAATTAAACCACATTCACTGGCAAAATCATACTTCGCATTGGTAGGAAATATTCAAACTTTATTTATAATCGTATGTGAATACTAACTCAGTGTCAAATGAATGGCCGTTAGGTGCTAAAAGAAAACTATATGTTTACACACAGACACACTATGTACAATAAAGATAAAGCGAACTGCAATACGTGAATATGTTAAGAATGTCGAGGCATGAGTCAAAGTTTTATAATAGGCAATTGGCGTTCACAAAACACAAATAGGTAGTTAAAATTATCTTTACATTAATGGGTGTACCAAGTTTATACTAATACGCCACAATAAGTTCTATCTATAATTGATAATTCGACAATGAGATCATACTTCGGGGACGGTTTATGTAAACAATTGGAATTCGTGCTACTTGAATGGATTTTCCTGACTAAAATTTAAAAAAAAAACTACAAATAAATACAGAAAAAGACTTCGAAGACCAAACGAGAGTCTCGTCGAGACTCATGATTAGACGCTTGGCCATCGGACATCGGTAAGAAAATTTGGGCGATTATTTATTATTATTTATGAAAAATATGGCTGCCAAAAATTCTACCCTACGATTTTCCAAAAGCTTATTACATTCACTTTTTGTTAATCTTCACAAAATATGAGTAAATGATGGCGAATCGGAAAAGCTGAATACAGTGATTTAATAGATTACATGATCGTGCTAACACTTATGCTAGTAGTAAAGCTTACATAAACAGGTGCAAGGGGCGTATTTACAGAATTAGGTTAATTCGTTACGTCACCGCGATTTATATAGCATAGTACAGCATACATATAAATATCATTTACAAATATTTGTTGATCGTTTGAGTTTATTCAGCATTCCCAATGAGGATTAGAAGCGGCATATCAACAACAAGATACATAAAATGAAGCGCGTAGTTACGCCAGAGACTTAATTCGGCCATTTATGACAAACATTTGCTATACGCGAATATTATATCTACCTACCACGTAGGTAAATTTCGGCAACTATAATCAAGGGATACGTCCTACCCTTCTGATGCTCAACAAAAGTAGCGACGTGAAAATTCAGTTCTAGGTACATGAAAAGCTCGTTTATTAATTCTAAGTATCTTTAAAATACAGCCAGACGCCCATCGTACTTGTATAGAATCTGCATTGCAATCCATAATGTAGCGCATCAAAGTAAAGTAAAAATAAATAACAATCCCGAAATGCAAACCAAAATTGAAGTGTCTCATTTAGATAATTTATTTCGGTTAAGCTTCGTTATACAAATATGCATACCTTTGATCAGATTGTTTGTTCACTCAACATCCCAAAGCTTGGCTTGGGAGGACAGGACAGGGATTACCTACTTTATTTAACTTTCTTCATTCTGTAGTCACTAAACAGGTTTAGTATGTACTATGTAACCTTTATTTTTGCTTCTATATACACTACTTTACACATTACATATATTTTTTACATAGATACAATTATTTAAATAACCTTAAATATTTTGGTCGATCCCTCAAACGGTCTGATGTTACCAAAAAATGGCTTTGAATATCCAAAGTGTCGGATTCTATATGTACCCGAGGGGATGTCTTTGCTGACGTACCACTGTATTGTAACTTGGCTGTATCCAGCTACGAGCACTAAGCTTTTCCAGGTCATACTACAACATGGAATTGCAGGGATTATGCTTACGTCTGTCTCATACGTATACCAATAAAATGAAAACAAACTTACGTAGTTTCCCAATCCGCATCCGTCGCGACAACATTCCACTTTGAATCGGTCAATTTTTCCACGGTCAAGTATGTTTTATCGAGCATTAAATTATTACGGGGGTTAGCTGATACCTGAAATAATTCATATTCTTCAACTGCCACATTTCAATCTATTTTCCAAGGAAACGCTCACTTACAAAAGTCGTGGTTACAGTTGATTTCGTTTTCACTTCTGATGAAGGTTGTTTTATGCACTCCCCAAAGGAATATCCAAGGAGGGGTAAGTCGTATAATATTGGGGTTGCAAATGAGAAAACCTTCCCCGATATGTCGGATGGCGGTATTCCTTTGTCATATTCTTTTCTCTGTGTACAAAAAAGATTGTTATTACCAGGTGCAAAACATTCCGTTACACCAGATTTGTAGTGACAAGTTACGTAAAAAATCAAACTACTAGTCAAAGTTGTGTCTCCAATTTGTTTATATGAAATGCAACAAATTTACGACAAAAACGGCTACCGGTAAAAAGTTTGAAGACAATTAATTTAAGCTTTCGTTTGCTGGTTGCAAGAGTACATTTTTGATATTTATACATTGCAGAACATCGATGATTTATTACTGGGAATAACTAATTAACTACTAATTAAATCAAAGTAAGCCTGAAGCACGGTTTATTTCTGAATCAAATTGCATCAACCATCTTTCGAAATTAATTTTCAACAAGCAACCCAATCAAACTGGCAATGCGGGAGATCCATTCACATTGCCTAAGATGTTTTACTATCCTATTTTCCAAATTGATGCTGCCTTCTACAGCACAAACCCAATTGACAATTGGTGAAGATTTCATCGCATCGATAAAAGTAGTTCGTTTGAATTTTTGTAGTGAATTTGCGTTTGAAGTCATTTTCTGAAGCGGTGTACTTACACGGGTTTATCCCGTGAATAAATTTGTATATTTTTTTATAAAGGATAAGTACACTCGGGCCAAAGATAGTGGTAATTTCATTGTTTGTTTAATGGTAAATTTAGAAGAAAATCCAGTAATTCCACTCTTTGGTGTGGGTTTTAATTTTTTTAATCTTCGACTTTCCTTAAGGAAGAATTGGGACTTGGTGTTAGGCACCCTGCAGATCTACAGTATTGAATATAGCGTAGTTTGAGATTTTGGTGGCGAGTTCTTCAATAGTTGCGTGTAGCGGTTTATAGTCTGCGAGTAGGCGACAACCATCCTTTTCTGATGGTCCGCGTTATTGGTGATCAAAACTTTTGCTCTCCAGGGAGTTTTCTGCAATTATACACTCTCGTAACACTGTCTTTATCAGCAGCTATGAAAAATGTGCAGGATCTTATTGCGATTGGTATGCATTCTGTAGTTTGCAAATAACAATACAGCAGGCACGGTTTCTTCAGCTACAGAGTAGATTTTTGAGTGCTTGTTTCGGTCCTCCAAACATAAGCAGGTCGATTGCAGTACATCGTACCCAATGATTCTGTCCGCGGATGTCTGTTCTGTATTTCTTACGATTATTCTCCTATGTGAATGAATAGTTTGCCGTGTAAGACACTTGATACAATTTGTTGACAATTTTGTTTTTTAGCTTCAGCAGGTTTGCGAATCCTTCATCGATGTAGATGATGCTGCTTCCCGTCAACACGAACACCTTTTATGAATGCTGTAACCATAGCTTTTTGAAGCGAGGAAAGTGAGGGAGCTGTGATACATGCAATACCATTCTTCTTTAACACAGAAAGCACTGTGTTGAATTTGACCTTTACTGCGACAAACGGTTGAATAATGGCCTTTCTTTCTACAGGTGTGGCACTCAACAGTTATTGCTGGATAACTTTTCCGTGCGTAGACAGAGCCACCCCAAAAAAAGCATTTGCGTTTCGAATAATTTTTGATTTTCGTGGATTTTGGCACTATAGCTACTGTTTTGACAAAGGAAGATGGTGTAGGTGAGGTACATTCGCCTAAAGTGATATGAATAATAATAGATACATAAATCTCATATATGAAATTATTGCTTGGATTTGGATCAATGCGCTTTTAGCTCTTGTTTTGGGTGGCAACTAATTAAAAATGCGTTTCTCACGTGGGTCATTTTAACGGTTCGAGTTGCTCATTGGCTATGTTTATAAACTTTAGACTTTATAATTAACAAATTTGCTGGAAAAAAAAACGATTCCTAATAAAAATTGCACGTGCTACACAACTGCCACCCCTATTTTGATGCCCGATAAAATATTTCCTCATTTCATTTCTTATTAAGCCAGGAATACATCTAACAAATGTTGTCGAACGTTCGCGTTGTCGATGCGTTCGCGAAGTGTAAACCATCGTTCGCGGCGATTTCAGTGTGGTACAAATAGCTAACTATACAAACGAACGTTTTCCATCGCCGGGCGGTAAAAATAAAAAGATCAAAAGAAAACGTTAGCAACGAATGCCAGAATAGGCCATGAATGATGTATTCCCGGCTTTATATTGGTTTGCATTTAAATTTTCGATGACCGATTTTCATTTAATATTCATACTATGCCTCTTCAATTGAAAATTATGGAAGCAACGTAGCCTTATGAGGTTTTTTTGCCTTGTAAATATACATATTATAGTGAAAGCTGAAACACGTTGTTATTTCTGTATAAATTTATATCGAGCGTGGTTGATTGCTCATTTGCTCAAGTACACTTTTTTTGAGGCCCATATATATTACTTTAAAATGTTCGAATCATTTTTTTCTTATATCAAAATAACGAACATATTTCCAAGTTAAAAATTTTTCAGGTAAAAATACTATAAACTTCATTAACCGTACGGGTTAAAGTTGTGCTAATTTCGACAACCCTTAGTTAAGTAAAGAGGAAAAATGAAAGCGGCACAATTTCATGTGATACGATTGATCCGCTCTGATGAAGCACCTCTTATATAGGTTGTAGAGAAACAAACTCATTACAAATGTAAAGCACCTATAATTCCACTACGTGTGGAATAAAAAAATCTGAATAGGTACATCCATGATTTTTACAAGTACGTATAGCTAAAAAAACAATAGCGAACATTCTTATTTCTATTCTTAAGATCATGTGTACCAATTTTTAATGCAGACGTTTCTAATCAAAGTTATCGCGCACACGGATAGACAGACAGCAATATAAAATTATAAACGATCTCGAGGATCATTAATTAAATTCGCCTCATTGCAATTCTTGCAGATTGCTGAACATTTGCGTATATGGTCCACGTTTGACTCTGGCAAAACACCGTCGTATCGCAGAATTGGACTGGGTCAACATAGCGTGACCCAGTGGCCCAGTTCGTCTACTGACCCAGCGACCCAGTGATCCAACTTGACCCGGTGACCCATTTTAAACCCTTAAACCTGTTTAATCCGGTGACCCAGTAGTGAAATTATTGTTAGGTACCTATCTGGTATCCGCCTTTGTGACAAAAGGAATATCGTAAGTTTACAACACTATCTTAATTGTTTATTCAAATTTATAGTATTAGTGTAACGAAGCACCCGGAATTTCTGAGTGGAGTTTGCCGTTTACGAGGACCACCCTGTATAGTAACGATTGGTTTGGGCTTCGTTACGTAGAAAACGGCAATTTCGAGAACTTTCCGCGATGCCATGGAGACCAGGAGAGTGGTTGGAATTTTAGAATTATTTTTGTAACCACCGAAGGGTGTTGTCCTAGAGAAGATGAGGGACAATTAATATTTTTCTGTTTCAGTGTCGTTCAGTTTCCCAGTGAGGATAGAACGAGTTCCAAAGCGAGTTGTTTACAAGTTTTGCAGACCAGACCGTATTCCTGCATGTTGCGTGTTCTGTTGAGTGTTAGTTGTTGCAGATTGAATTGTTGAGTATTTAGGTTTGATTACCCTTCATTAGGTAAGCACTGTTAATGAATGCCAGGTTAATGGGCGGTAGCAAACCTTGTCAGAAACCGTCGAGAGAGGTGTCACAGAGGCGCTGTAATTTTTGTAGCAGTTTGCAAGCTGTCCCAGATTTCTACGATTAAGAATTATTTGTACCGCGCTCGGTGCGAATGCAGCGAGGCTCTGGAAATTCCCTGTACCACTTCCACCAAATTGGGTTTTATTTATAAGGAAAACGCTTAATTTTGGATCTATCTTTTGCGTTCTACTTGTCGTAAGTAACTCCGTAAATCTGTTTCTGCGATTTTGCGTACCGTTTAATAAGGCGGCCAACCGTCCCGTATTCAGCGGGACGGCCCCATAATGGCAAACACAATCCCGCATTCTAAAAATGAATAAATATGTCCCGGAATTAAAGCAATGCGTCCCGCGAGTCCCGCTTTTGTAGTAGGATTGTCCAAATCAACATAAACAAGGCAACGCCAACAAGCGAAGCGAAGCAAATCCTTTTTACGCCAACGCGAATTTTAGCTCGGCTCGTGCTCATATTCCACACGGTGTATTATAAGTTATTTAGTTAAAATAGACAGGAATAATATTCCACTAATTGGGTTTTAATTCCTCCAGCACAGGCTATGCGCGAGCAGCCCAAGTTCGTCGCATTAGGTTTGTATTGATATATAAATTATGTCATCCAAAACAAATTTCAATTATCTTTAAAAAAAACTTCCTCAATAATATTCACCCAACAAGCACGCAGCGCAATTTTATTTAGTTACAAGAAAATTAATACCTTTGTAGGTACATTTGCAGTTTGTAGTCAAGTAGACAATGAAAGACTTGGATTGGGACTAAGTAACGAAAGTAGTACAACAAAGCAAATTTGTTTTGGCTAAATACCGCTACTTGCAAAAAAATGGCACATTGTAGCCGTTAGCACAACACATTACTATAATACTTATTAACACTAAATAAATAGAAAGTAAAAAATTCATAGAGATTATCCACGCCCGTCTTCCATGCCGAATTCTCGAAATGAAACGTGTTCCAGCAATCAAGAATAAATAAGTAGAAAAAAATGAAATGTGAGTGAACACCTGTAAGCAAATGGTAAGCTCTGAAGCAAATAAATGAAGGAGGGCACTGTTCAGAAATAAGATTACTATAATACAATTCGAGACATGGAAAGTTTTTTTCCGTCAGTATTAAAACAAAGATCACAGATGTGACACTTGTCAAGCAACCGAGTATTATTTTCAACAAACCAACCTTCATTTTCATTTATTTCATAATCTGTACACTTGAACTGGGGTCATTGACTCAAACTGGGTTATTGGATCAAACTAGGTTACTAGGTCAAATTGGATCACCATTGGGTTAAATTGGGTCGCTGGGTCAAACTGGATCATTGGGTCAGATTGGGTCAGCGGATCAAACTGGGTCATTGGGTCAAACTGAAAAAATGAATGAGTATGAAGTGACCCAATGACCCAGTTCACGCGGTGAACCAGTCCAACTCTGGTATGCCGTGGTATAGATTCTTTCACTACCTACTCGAAGTCATTCTGCATCCAGATCTGATTTTTTCGACCTACCTACATTTCTATGCCTTTCTTGTAGAACGATTTATCTTTTGCCTCAAAATAGGAGTTATTTTCAGCAATAGCCTCATTTGAGCCAAATCTCTTTCCCTGGAGCATCTTTTTCAAATTAGCGAAGAGCCAGTAATCGCTGGGTGCCAGACCTAGAGACCTAGAGAAGTCGGTTTTTACCGACTTGTGGATTGGTGCATTGCCTTGATGAAACAATATTTTTTCTTTGCCATATGAGGTCGTTTGCGCTTGATCTCGTCATTCAATCGGTCGAGTAAGGCTATATAATAGTCACTGTTGCTCATCGATGAACAATATTCAATGCGTATCCCAAAATACAGACGCCATAACCTTGCCAGTCGATTGTTAGCTTTTTGGACGCTTTGGACGGCTTTAGCCCTCTGCTCTACACTCAGCAGATGCTCTTTTCGACTCTGGCATGTAGTGGTGAATCCACGTGTCATCCATGGTCAGATATCGACCAAAAAATCCTTTTTATCGCGCTTTAAAAACTCCAAACACCGCTTAGATTCGTCAATTCGTAGTTGTTTTTGTTCCGATGAGCAAACGCGGCACCCACTTCGAAAAAAGTTTTCATGTCTAAATTTTCGTGTAGAATGTTGAACACGGCGCCTTTTGATATCTTTAAGATGTCAGCTATCTCCTGCAATTTCACTTTGCGATCACCCATAACAATTTTCGACACTTTTTGGATGTTTTCTGGCGTAGTCACCTCTTTTGGCCTTCCAGACCGTTATGCGTCTTCAGTGGTCGTACGACGTTTGAAATTATCATGCCATCGGCAAATGGTTGTTTTCGATGGAGAATTTTCCCGGTAACATTTTTCAAGCCATTCCTGGGCTTGTACAGTATTTTTACCCATCAAATAGCAGTGTTTTATTAAGACTCGTTTTGATTCATTGTTCACAAATTCACAAAAGTAGCGTCACTTTAACCTCAATATCGCGAAAATAGCTGAATCAAATGTCATGAAATTTTGACACGGTTCTTTTGAAGGTTGGTACTACCTGAAAACCCGGGGACTTTTTGACCCATATAGTAGGTATGTACAAGGTAAACCGTCTATGGTTTCAGCGATATTTTAAGAAGGTTGACACTCTTTTCCACGCACTTACTACAAGTGGGTAAAATTCTAAGCGATAGTGACTGTGGTGCTATGCATCCACAGCTCATTCTGCATATGTTCGATAACTTTCAATGCACATTCACCCCCTTCATCCATTCGCAGTCTCCAAAAGGGTGTCGTTTCATCACTTTGCATATGAGATTTCATTGTGAATTGAGCTTCCTGCTTTACTTTAAGTGGAAGTCGTCGAATATCTCTTCGCCGTACATAGGTAAATCAATGGTCTCCGTATCCGTAACTGAAAAGGATGAGGTGGTCCAAATTCTCTAAATCTCTGTTCCCGTGGGAAAATGCACCTATTAATTTATGATGTACTTAATTTTTGCGACAATTGTTCTGAATTTTTACTTCTGTGACTTTCTTTAATGGTCTTTAAAGCGCTGGCAACGTTTAAAAGCACTCCGCTTGGCGTCGTGCCCCTAAACTCGTTGCACGTGCTTTAAAGACTTGATTATACTAACACTTGTCTCTTAATATATTATTTACTTACTGTCATTAAAGAATTGACTAAATTTTTGTAGACATTAAGGTAGATATCTAACGTGTACGGTCCAAATATGGTCGAAGCCCCTTCATATCTTTGCATCTAAAATTTAACATTTAAATTGCAAAGCCCTCTATAACTAATCTTACTTGGTATTCTTCTTTTGTAACGATGTAACTAGTATACGTATTGCTGAGGCCGGCAATAATAGCTTTGCTCTTCTGATTTCCGTGTTCACTGTACGTTTCTTCAAGTTGTCTCCTTAAACGCCGACCAGCCATTGTGGTAAACTCTCCAGGAACAGCAGCAATTATCACATGTGCAATGATAGCCACCTGCACCGAAACAATACGACATTGCCAACGGTACGGGACGTTTATCTGAAAAAGAGACAATTGATTTTTTCTGTGCATAGGTGTGCGCTATGAATTATTATAGTATACTCAACAGTCATGTTATGAAACATGACAAAAAGCTAAAAGCAATATCAGTTCACAATCGGTAAACCTTGACTTGAGATGAATAGAGTTTAAAAATGAAGAATAAGATGTTAAGTGTCACTTGCCATGGTAGATAAAAATATGTCGTATGTTTAAAACAAGTATAAATTGTGCAAAACTCTGGTGTAGAATAAGCGCGTTTTTTAAAACCGAAATAGCCTAATAAATAGTTTAGTTTAAAGGTAGTATTAATACTTTTTCTACAGTTGAGGTATCTAAGGGAGGACATTACTTCTCACCACTACTATTATACCTTCTTCCAACATTCTCGAGACGTTCACTATTAAGCTTTCACATCGCTAGTAGATGTGTCTCGTCGAGATGATCTTTCTACCCTTTGTGAGTATCCTCCCCCAACACTCCATTCTGCAGATATTTATACTGAAATATTTGATATGCCTCGTCCTGACTTGACCTTTACCTTCTTGCGAGATTTTCAAGATATTCACTGCGTTGTCAAGGGATTTGATTCGATGTCACTAATAGATATCGCCCAGACGATTCATTTTGCCTTTGTAAGTACTCTGCTCTGATAAACCGTTTTCGAGATATTCGCTCTTAAAGTTTTGACATGGGCAATGAAAATATTTCTTGCAGACATCCCAATTATAACTACCCCCTCCGACAATTTTGAGGTTAAAGGTATTATAACCGATCACGATAAAGGGTCTAGAAGGAGAACCACAAATCACATACAATGTTGTATGTGATTTGTGAGGAGAACTATGGTTGGTAGAAATTAAAGATCAAATTATACTCCTCCCTCCCTCACCCACTGATTTCGGAAAAAAGTTGCGCAGAAAAGTTGTAGTTTGTAGAAACCAGTTCATTTCGATGAGACTTTTCATTAAAATACCATGAAGGGTAGAACGTGTGTTAACCCCCGCCCCCTCCCCTAAAATACCTGTTGCCACTATAGACATGCGTATGCAAAACCAATTGGTTGTCGCATGTAAAAGTTATGCACGTTCTTTTTAAAAATAGATCGAAAAATAAATAATGAGAGACATCCCCCTTAAGACATCAAAATTCGAAGGCCGTCTGGCTCGCCATCAATGTATAGGCTGCCTATTGCTAAAAAATTCCAAGCCTCTGGGACAATTCCCCTAAAAGTAGTTCAAAACCGCAGAAGTTGGTCCGGACTCCGGACACACGGACAGACAAAACGCAAACATAGCACACTTCTTTTAGTTCTTAAAAAATGCGCTACTTACATTATTATTCACTATATTTTGATAGATAGCCCCCCTCCCTAACTCATTTTCTATCAGATTTTCCAAAGTAAATGTAATACAAACGTTGTTTGGCGTAAGTACAATTTTTTAAATTCGGTACTGGGTTTCTCAAAAGCGGTTCACAATCCCCAACTTGAAAATTCTAAATGGGATGCCCTGTACCTACAGTGATTTGAAAGTGCTACGAAATGTCCGTCGTTTTGACCTGAAAGTTATAGATGGCACTGCTTATAATTTTTCCAGAATCACTTCAAGAATCATATGGGCAATTTTTGGAAATGGTTGTCTTAGGGTTCCACCATCTGTAAAAAAATTGAGAACGCTCCTGGGAGTCACCCAATTTGAAAGACAAAGCATCGTTTTTTTTTTAATTTATTTATTTAATTAATCAATGAATATGAAACTTATGGTGATCGGGTTTGTCATATTGTTTTGTCATGACAAGAAGTAACCAAATACGTATTTGCAAAAAAATCGGATGAATTTTACTTAGTAATAATAGATTATTAACTTTCGGAATTACTTTTTTTATATTTTTCCATAAAAAACAATAACGTTTGAAAATCAACCTTTTATACCAACTGTATCTTAGAGAAAATTCGAATCTAAACAAATAACTATAGCCATTATTAAACGACTAGGGGGCGGTAGCTATTTTTTGTACCATAAGGGGGCGATGCTTTAGATAAGATTGAGAGTCTATGCCTTTAATTTAAATAAGTAATGCAGCCGATTCCACAGATTATATCTAGGATTTTATACAATTTTCTTTGTCTTAAATTTTAACTATTTAAAAAAACGGCGTGTGTGTTTTTTGGTAGATGTAGTAGACGAAAAAACTTTCCATTCAATTGAACACTGACTGGCTGTGTACAGATGGGTTAAGTGGTATCATAATTTCAGGTAAAGACCCGTAATTTATAGCCTTTTGGGAGGCGCGTGGTAAAGTTATTGAACCGATTGAGCCAACCGTACATACCTACATATTATATAAAAATCAATGGATCAATAAAATAAAATTAATTTAACCCTTAGATTAACATATACACAAAAATTTGGTTTCTGTAACGAAGGGCCCGCTTCTTACACTTACACATTTAGCGAAGGTTGCCAACAATGACATAAATGTGTAAGAAACTTGACTAATTCAATTTTACTTTTTACTACGGTCACTACAGATTTCCGAAAGGAGATACAAATTCGACCTCAATAAACTTTCCTAAAAGGATGAAATATTGAAGAGATTTTAACATAGCAATATATCTCCTTTAACAAACGATATTTCCCATTGTGTTACATTGCTGAATGCCATTCTTACATCACGAGTCATCAAATCGCACTTATTGCTCCTAAATTATACATAAACTTACCAGTTGTGCAATACTACTTTAACATACATTCATGAAATGATAAAATAAAATGCATTTTAAACGGATTATGCAGGTAAGGTGCGATGGACTAATGGGGTTAAATTACATAACAAGTGCAAACCAATGGGATCGGTTGCACTTAGAATGTTTTTAAATGTCCTTTTTACCATAGTTATAAACGGAAAGGACGCGTTTAATATTCTCATTTCGGGAATGGGCTGAATTGAATTAACGGAAGCCACACGACGACAAAACCAATTCCATGATTTAGGTTTCTGGGACAACAGTTTTCATTAAAAGAAATTCTCTTTCTGAAATAGACATGGAATTTGTTAAAAAATAAATATGGATACCTTTGGTTCCGCATGATATTAGATGATAGATATTCAGTCCAATTCTGTAACTTTAAGGTGGCGTTTACAATGAAAAATTGGAAATTTGTTTCCACAATAACTGCCTTCTGGGTACAAATTTTAGGTTGAAATAGCATTCATTCAAATATATAATGTTCCGACATTTGCATGAAACAAAAATGATTTAGCTAATTCTGCACTTCTGCCGTTATTTAGCAAGTAAGTTGTTAAAAAACTCCCATATAAAATATATATCTTTCATTTTTATCACACACTGATATTAATTTGTTATCAAATTTAACTTCATTCACAAGCTTTGCAACCATCGGTCGTTAAGAGAAGTTTATTTTTTTACCTCGAAACAAAGTTATTGAATACGATTTTTTAAACGCTGTTGAAGATTCAATTCTTCCCATAATTCATCTAGTTTTTTAATATCGTTTGGAGCAGTTTCTTCATGAACTAACGTGGCATTTTTTGTTCATAAAAATCATAAAAACATCTTCATTTTGTTATTTATGTTGGTTGATGGTAGTTGACTGAATTGACGTAAAGATTGCCAGAAAAATAGAACTTGCGCTAATCCGACAAGAAATTGAACTCAAGAAATCGATCAAGTTATTGCATCCAATTCTGTGTTTACACTCGTAAAGTTTGTCAGAGCGACATGAACAAGAAATTGGACAATTTATTGTTGCTCTAAAACCAGTTTTAAAAACTAAAAACTCACAAAAACACTGTAATGAACTTTTTTGTAGAATGTTTTAATCCACTTTGGCCGGTGTAACTTTCAATTTATTTTAAAATGACTGGCCTGTTATATTATAATTAAATTTTATCATGATTTCTTGACAATTTTAAAATGTATTCCAATTTCCAACAATTAATGTCTTCTATTTTTAATATGTCAATAATTTAACACAATTTTTTTTCAATAATATGTTATGCACGTAACAAATTGTAATTAACCTCAGTTTTACAGCATACTTCCTTAATTGCTTTATGTAATTTAACCTCACCACAATTTAAGAAGCTATCAAGGTAAGTATATGTATTCCAAGGTATAAATTTGCAAAAACCTACCTATTTCACATTCCCAGAAACGTTTAACTAAAGCTACCAAAAAAACACCCCATAGGTGTACATTTTTTGAAATTGAAGTAAATTACACGTAGAAATTTAATCGTCTAAAACGGGTTTAAAAAAGTAACATGTCAAATAATTTTACGTTGTCCCACAAATTCTGATTTTGTTAATAAATCAGGTTTTTCATTAAAAACAATATGCGTTGATTTGGTCGAAAAGGGGGTAACAACGGCAGAAGGTTAATTAGAGAAAATTATGCAAACGAATCAAATCACATTTCCAAAAGTGGTGTGAAGTTAGCACGGAAAACGGGTACGCTGTACGTCAAAAAGGGGTGTACTTTTTCGTACACAATCAAGCACAAACGATTGGCACAAAACATTTCGCTTGTGCTTCCATTACAGTGCTAACTTCACGCACCTCTGGTTTTTTGTTAATTATTATTATACTGGCTGGTCGTTAATGAAGGGATCGTTTCTATAGGGTCATAATTTTTCATTGGTTACAAGCGTTTTAAGCCTCCATTCCAATGGTTCAACAAAATTTCGATAAATAATACATAGCTTGTCGCCACTATTCTTTACATGTTATGCCTTCTGCCTTTGTCCCCTATTACGATTATCAATTATCAACTAATTCAAAAAAAGATGTCTTGTAACAAGGTTGCTTCAAAGCCAAAAAACATGCAGATTGATTACACTTACCCTTCCAGTTGGTATAAAGATGGGTTTTGGATGATGACAGGAAATATCGTCGCTTGTCGGTTCGGCAATAATATTTCGTATAAAATTCCACATAGTGTTGTCACTTAAAGTGCCTTGTTTAAAATCGAAACCTCCAGGTCCATCCGTCGTTCCCGCCGCAAAGCTGTAACCCATTGCTGGTAGACAACCGTGTACCTGAAATTAATAGAGGGATATAAATACCTTATACATTCATCACTGCTAAACTTTATTGCTAAATTTAAGAAATCAACCATAAGTTACTCTTCTATTCGATGCTCCTTCGTAAACATAGAATTGTCCAAAGAAAACGTAAGCATCGAAATGAGTTCCAATCGTTAAATTAGTAACTAACTATACTGTATTCATTTTAAGAAGGTAGCGGTAAAAAGCATAGGGAAGCTTTGACCTTCACTGTGATTGGTTAAAACACGAGTCAGTATTACAATGAAACATAAAACGACTGTTGAATTTTGCAAGTTGGTAGGTAGGTTATGTTGCCAACTAAACTGCCGAAGTGTCATTAGTTGTTATTGTGAAAGATTTATTTCTGTTCGCAGTGCTGAATATTTCTAATTTACAATAATTTGGTGCCGTTTTATTTTTCCTGTGTGTGTTTATCTTCAAACACAGCGCCATCTACTACCTTCTTATAATGAATGCCGTATAAGTGTTATATTTGTTGATTGCGAAAAAATTGATTATCTGTAGAAAGAAATATTTTTATACTATAGTGAATATTCGGCGATAAAGAACGAAAGCGAATGTGACGCAATCTTTCCGAGAAATATGACGTGTTTGTTCGAGAACATTCTAGAATACTCGAGACGGTTCGGAAACGTTCATGAAAGGCGTTTGCTACAAGTAAACTGAATCGCGTATTGCTAGTGAGTTCTAACATCGTTGCGAAGTGAAGCATTAAGCTTCCCCTCGTGTTATGTTACAATATTACGAATTGTAGATGATAAATAACAATTACTGTTATAAATTAATCAATTTCAAGACTGTTATAAATTTATTGTTAATTAGTTAAACTTACGTTACAATAATAACTCTGAAACTTATCTAGAAGTCCGGTTGCACGTAGAACATCAGCCGAAAATTTAACTTTTTCCAAATTTAAAGTTCTTTTCATTTTTTTCTGATATTACGTCTTACTCTAAAATATAAATTTTGGGGAGGGAGGATGTGGATTTATGATAAATTCCATTCAACGCTAAATCAGGAAACGGCAAGGATAAGTATAGGAAGTAGAATGCGACAAATTTTCTTTTTCTTTCAATTTAAACCTGATTTGCCTGACAAGCTAAATTAGGCAAATTACATTCACGATTAACGGATTTTATTTCTTTTCATAGGCGACAAACATAATACGACAAATAATAAATACATAAATTAAATTAATATTCGTAACTAAATAAGGATGTCATGTGGCTTACCATTTAAATGGTTTTTAGGTAGGTAGTTAAAAAGCCCTATTCTTTTACAACGGTGAAATATGAAGTTATTAGGTAGGTAATTCATTAATTATTAAATTAAATGAATACTTAAAAGCTCGTATAAATTCCATATGGCTTCATACGGTTTCATAGCACACCTTTTGTAATTAGGGAGATATTTAATTATTTGGAAATCGTCGTTTTTCAGTTCTTCTTAAGTAACCTTCACTCTGACCCGAATTTTCAAATTTCCTTAATGGAATATTAATCGAAACATAAAACCATAATACTTTTCTCATTCTAACTTCAAAGATAATAAAGTTACTGATGCAATTCCACTCCATTTGGGACTTCCCTTATAATATCTACATATACTTCTTAAAACTCAAACAATGGCAGGTAAGCTAATAATTTGTCTTTGGAAAAGAATACTGATTTTGACATTCAAATTATACCGTGCTTTGAAAAGAACAATGATGTGACGTCTCCCTTAAAGTAGCATACCTTACAAAAAACTTAAAGGAAACATGCCGGGGGCTAGTTTTCTACAAAGAACATTTTACTGTCTGATGTTTCTCCATGAAAAGCATACGATTGGGTGTATTGCAAGCAGTTATAAAAAGACACGTTTATTGCATTGACAATAAATGATGAAGATGGAGAATCTGGTACCTAACGAATCTAATAAGTTATTTTTCGTTAGGGGATAGATAGCGGATTCGGTTAAATTGATAGGAAAATAAAAGTTTATATAAGATAATTTGAACTTCTTTAAGAACTTGGAAAAGTTTAATTAAAAGAACTGCGAAGTATAGGTACCTATAATAAGTAAGATACAAAATTACTACCGGTTGGGTAAGCAATTTAATAAACCTCGAAACAGTTACACAAATTAGATTTTGTTTATATTCGAGGTTCATTTAATGTATTTAAAAAATAAACAACAATAGGTACACCAGAGAAACACTTCCATAAATACACCAAACAATTTATTTATAGTTCATGTAATGTATATGTTACAATCAGCACTTTGAACTAATTCTGCTTAGTACCCTTGTATACTTGTACCATAGTATTTTATGTTATGCTTATACTCAGGTAGTCAGGTGCCAGTATATGACAGTCCAGAGCACTCGATAAGTCCATACCTTCTTTTTGGTTCGACGCAATAGCCACCCGCCATAGAATTTTCAAAGTTAGTAGATTATAACCAAAGAGTAACCATAATTTACTCTTTGTTATAACACTGGCAAGGTTGATTGATTTGAAGCAGAGGCATTCCAATAATGGTCACCTATAAGTTGTGGATCTAGAAATCTGAAAACACAGGTATAACCACATGTATGTTTCGCCCAAAAGATGTCAATATTGTTATCATAATATTCATTGGGGAAACATGCAAACGCATTATGTCAATGCGCAATAAGTGAATTAATTTTTTTTGTAAGGAAGTGTATTCTCATCAATCTCGTTGGGAAAACGCAGAACTGAACTTCATTATTTGATCAAATAATGTCAAAATCGTCATTTATTCATCAAATTCGTTGGTGAAAGGAAGTGAATTTCTCGCATTTTAAAAAGTTACGTATATTTTGACCTAATGAGGGTGTCCTTCTTGTATATCTTTATTCAAATACGTCCTGATCCGCCGCTGCAAAAATTCTCTAAATCACAAAATCATAAATACACTTTTTGAAGGAGAAAACCGAGGAGAAAACCGTTACTACTGATGAAAAACCAATTATAGGACTTTTAGAAAAGGTGAATCAGACATTTTCAAATCACTACATGCGAAATTAGATCACTTACTAGTAACCCGAAGGCTCAATCTTCAAATAAGTATACCTAACTTTTGTTTGAAAAGTTATTTAAAAAAACTGTTCGACAATTTTGTTCCTTGTCCTGGTGCGAAAAAATTCTGATTTCGACGAAATTTGGTATCTGGGCTACGATTCAGCAAAGTGAGGCTTGCTTATGGGGAATTATTCGTAAAAAAGTTAATAAGATGGCAACGTTGACAACAACCAAAAAGTGAATAGATTTTCGTGTAGAGGTTAACAAATGATATCGAAACAAGTGAAAATATACAGGGTGTTCTGTACACCCTGTAAATTCAAAAATAATTTCTGTAGAGGGGTACTCAACTATATCAATACAATTAATATTAACTTCGTCGTTAAAAATAAATGGCTATTTTAATTTACGAACGTATAAAGTTCTACTAAAGAGGCAAATTCACCGAACGCTCAGTGACCTCATCGCGAAGAAATGGTGGCAAACTCTCTGAAGTTTGGGTTTTTATTATTTCTGTGCACTAATACCCATAACTCGAGACGAGACGCAATTATATACGAGAGCAGGTCACGAAAGGGTTCAACTGTATCACCCTAAAAGCTATCCGGTTTTCAATTTATCTTGAAGGGCGCCCTTTTCAAGGGAGAGCCTTACTAAAGAAACACAGATTCTAAGAATAGTGTAAGTTACTTCATTTTTTTGAAGTGTATAAACTATTGGTGTGTTATCTTGAACAGTTTGAAGCGGATGCTTATATGACGTAATCATATGCTTAAGGCAAAGAACATTTACAAAAAAAACGAATTCCATTATAGCTTACCTTTGTAGCAGTTCCATTTGGCATCATGTGATCAATATATTGACTAGGCATATCTACGTACTGATGTCCGAAAATTAAGCCGCCGCGTAACTCTTCGTCGTTCTTATCCAAAATTTCCTAAACAATAGAAAATTCGTATAAATATAGTTGCCTGAACCACTTATTACTGATAGGTCAGGGTGAGGTACTTTATTGGTATAGGTATTGCACAAGTTCGGATACATTATATTTTTTATATACATTCACGTACAGCAACAATACATTCGCATCTTACTACATTATAGATGCAGTTTGAATCAATAATAATTACCTACATTTTGATTACGTTAAGTAGTAAATGGTGGTACGATTCACCTCTGAGGAAGAATCCATCAATAACTTGTTATCTTTGATATTTCGAAAACTACAATAGACCAATAAGTCAGATTTCAATAAGAAATTCGGTATTTAAGCTTGGACGACTAAAACGCGAAACGTATGCGATCCGAGCGCCTTTATAACAAGATGAAGTCGGCGCTAATGATAACTTGCCGTTACGAAGTCAGTTAAATTAGAAAATAGGAGGCATTCTTATTTCAAGATTGCAACGGTCAGAAAACCATTGGTTTATAAAAATATTCAACAAAAGTAACTTTTTTAATGGAACTCCCTATATATTATTATGTAAACTGCGTTACGCAGACGTTCTTTTGTTTTCAGCACCTTAAATAAGGTTGGGCCGCCCTGTATGTGAAATGTTCCAATCTTTGAAGTAAACCTGGTGGGTTTTTTACGAACAAACACAAGGTTTCGTTTCGTTTAAATGTCTTTCAGTATTTGTTTTCCTTTTAAAAATATGTGTAGATGCGGAATTTTTTCGTTTTAATCGCTTTTGTAAATTGTTCACTTTAAGGTGTGTTTTTAAAGAACCGTAACCCAATTTTCTTTTGAAAACCAGTATTTAAAAGCGGACAAATATCAAAAGTACGCTCCATAGCAATAAGTGTTTGAAAGGATCGCCTAGACAGTAGTTAATGAGCTTATTAATAATGGTTTTATTTACACATTTAAAATGTACATGGGCGTGCAAATGGGTAAAACAATATTACTCATGCACATTAAGTACAAATTATTAAGAATGCATTCCAGAAATTTATGCAATTAAACCAAGTGTAATTACCATGTACCTATAATCCTTATTCTTTATTATTAAAATGTAGGTATATAAATATCATAAATTTATTAATAGGAACGTATTGGATCCTAGATGCAACCCTAAAGTACGAGTATGTTGAAATGGTGCGCTACTGGTATATAGCCGCAGGCGCATTCCTTTACTGCACGGACATCTGAAACGAACATTAGATAATATGCTAGAGGTAAGACGCATTGGTCAAATTTTGGGTGATTTATGAAAGGTTTTCCGTTTTATTAGGTCTTTTGGAATAAGGAGTTTTATTGTTAGGCGAAATTTCATTAATGCATATGTGGTTTTGATAGAAAGTTGTAGGTGTTTTACGAAGATGTGAGGGTTTCACGCGTAAGTGGAAACGCGAGACACCTTTGTCGAAGCTGGTGTTATTCAAGTCTTATTGTGATCGGCGGTTTATGTGGACTAAATCCATAAAGGAGATTATTTTATGGTAGAAGTGGCGGATCTTTTAAATACGGGAGACAACGTTTTATTCGTGACGGTTTGAGCGCGTGATATTTGTTGCGCGGATATTTTGAGCAGTCGGCCTTATTTGTTTAGTTGGAGACGTAATTAATCGTGATTATAATAAATTAATGTAGAAGAAAGTAAGTAATCGTATTGCGAGATTTGAGTTCTAACGTCGTGAATGAGTTACTAAAAGTGCGTAAAAAATTTTTAAAACGTTTTGTCTGTTAATAGAAAGAGTAGTGGTTCGATGTTAATAAAACCATGCATAGGCAGTCTACGGTCCGAAAAGTCACTAAATTTTGTCATCTAATTCAATAAGTCAGTTATTTTTTATCATCAAGACTCAATTTAATAAAAAGGAAATGGGTCCCTGAAGCTGTCAGTTTGTGTATGTGTCAGTTCTAAGTGCGCCTGAATATCGCACGGCCAGATTTATTGGATTGTTGAAAAACTGTGTTTACCTCAAACCCCCCCTCCCCATAATAAAAAAAATACGGTATACAAAAAATAAAATTTTTCTATTTGATTATTCCTAGCTTTCTATAGACTGAGTAAACAAATGAGGGGAAACCTATTATTCTTTTAAAAATACGTAAAGATACACAGGGCGTTCCATTACAAAAAGTTACTTTATTGAATATCTTGGTACCCCGATGTGCAATTGTTTTTCCTGAAGTATACAAAATTACCCCGAGGTGGCAGATAAATTAAGGATAAAAAAAGGTTTTTCGAGAATACAACGATTTGGTGTTCATTGAAGGCAAAGTGGTTTAAGTGGACCGATTAGGGACCAATAAAAGGCTACATGGACGCTGAAAATCAACCACGCATTGCACCAAGCTCCTCTCGGTGCCAGTTCGATATGCGGTCTACCAGAGAGTACTGGTCCAATATGCATGACTATTATGTAGGTACATATTTAGCTTTGGGATTTTTTTTGGGATCTCTTGATTCAATAAGCGATCTACACCAAAAATTGTTTATTATTTTTATTATAGTTAATTATTCATAATAGTTCAATTCGAGGTTTAATTACAAGCTATTACACATGCAACGCCCTCGCTAAAGAAAGCAATAAAGTAATTGAAAAACGGGTAATTGAGTACTTTCACTGAGGGATGAGTATTATGATACTCATTAATTAATAATTAATTAATTAAAATTATGTCCACCCACAAAGAGGTGCACATTCTCAGGAATTGAAAGATCCTGGTTAGACGCCAAAGTGAAAATTTTGAAGAAAATGAGAGGTGTTCCAGCGCACACTTTGCAATCCCATTTAGATTATTTCGCATGGAAAGTGTTGCGAAAAAACGCAGAGGATGAGTTTATTGCATTTCTAAACGACGTTAGAGATGTATATGTATAAATTGACAATGTAATCATCTATGTATGACATAGTTAAACATAATAAATATTATAGACACTAGTTTGCTTATTGATCCGTAATACCACAGATTTAAATATACTATTTAAATCTGTGGTAATACTTATGTTGGTATGCATATTATGTAGACCGCATATTGAACCAGCTACTTTATGGTAGATCACATTATACATGGTAGACCGCATATCGAACTGGCACCCTCCTCTCGTTGCTCCCCTCAGAACAAGGAAAAAATCGGGTCCGTCTATATACCACCACTATTTTCAATTTTACACTTTGTAACGCTTTATTTTCATCATTGTGTTTACGGTACATTTTGTTGGAAGATCATCGTAACTTTTAGGAAGCAGTTTAATAGATGGGTCCATTTATTGTTGGAATTTTAACCACGCAATTTTACCGCGCTCACGTTCATTCATTTTTCATTCGTTCTGTCGCGAACTGTATTGGGTTACACTTCATTAAAAACCAAAATCTGAAGCGTTAGTTTAGAACGCATGGTTTTTTAATTGCCATATTCCATTTATAGTAATCTACGCCATTTGCTTTTTCCGTAATTGAAGTGTACCGTTTCTTTAGGTTTCGGCTGATATTTGTCATATTACAATTTCCATGTACGATTGTTGCATTCATCTATAATTAGCCCTCTTATTTAAGGGGTATGTACATTTTAGTTTATCAAGAAGGGGTGACTACCTTTGATATTCTTTCAGTTCAAGTTAACTAATAATAAACAAAAGTTGGAAGCTCGCGCTCAACGGCATAATCGTGCGAGAATACCTATCGGAAAATTTCTGGGAAAATGGAAAATATGTCAGGTAGGCATTCTCGCACTATTAGAGCGGGTGCATCATCCTGTTGAAACCAACAATTTCCAACTTTTTTTGTGTGCCACACATTGCTGTATTCGTAATGAAAAATGCTGCTCAATATTGTATGTACTTTTTTTACGGATCATATAAAAAATTACATTGGTGATGATTTCCCTGGAACGAAAGTTGTACCGAAAATCTCTTAACGCAGTCTTGTACAGCTCAAAAAGTGCCAATGAGAAAGTGTTTTTTTTTATTTTTTCGTATCTGTTCCAATAACATCAGATCAAAATAAAAACGATCTCGGCAAATTTTGGTTTTTCTGACCTATCTTCGGAAGTATTCAGAATTTTCCAGCATGATAGTAACTTTTTAATTTTTATATTTATTGTCTTTGTTTTATAGTGGGCGGAGTGTTAACTAATTAGCTATTCTCCCCACTAATTGCTCATACTTTCTTAAATTTTTCTATGGTTTCGGAGATTCCTATGATAGACATCCTTATCTTAGTCACAGTTTATAATCATACAAATGTTTTTAACATTTATAAAGCTTTTGAGGAGCGCTTCTACTCTTATAACTTTTTCACGCATCAAGCCCTATAGGTAGGAACGGCCCTGAGTTCTGTAAGAACCAGCTTAAGTTTCGGAGACGTTTTACCAAAGAGTAGGGTACTCTTTGGTTTTACATACAACCTGAGTTCGACATACAAGTGTAGGTAACCTTGCCACATTGCGAGTGCCTACACCTTTGACATATTTTCCACCTGCTGATAACGAGCGGCCATTTTCTGGAATTGCGTCACCGGGCCATGAACGAGAATCGATCCTCAACAAAGAGACAACTTCCGTAACTTTTAGCGTATTAGTATTAACTATTTTTGCCCCTTCTGGGTTATATGCTGTCACATTCAAGTAATTTGTTATTATCTTTGCGATCTCAGTTAAGTTAAGGTCGAGTTAGTCACACAAACGCTATTCGAGTCTGCGACTTACATCAGAAGCGGTTGGCCGACTAAGTACCGTATCTGTGATAGAAGCTTGCTACGAGTAAAGCGAGGCCCTTCAGGCATTTTTCAACGTCTTGGAGTTAGCATTATTTATACACGGTAAGAGTTGCCTTGTATCTTTTACTTGTACTTCGGCTTATACGAGCGAATTTTTGCGCGGACTTTCAATTTATTTGTGGAAGCAAGCGCATAACTTTTGAAAACGTTAACTTAGCGCCCCCCACTTTTTGAAAGGGTGTTTAACTCAAGTGGTTCAATTAAACGCATAACCAATATCTACTCGTAGATAACTCGATAACTTAAGAAATTCGCATTCTTTCCCATTTCCAAGAAATTGCGTTTTTATGGAAGATAAACCCTAATCAATTGAAAATGTTTACTTACCAGCGCTTTTTTAAATAGTCGTTCTGCTATAATTTTGGTACTTTCGAACATATCTCTACCAGGACCATATGCTATGCAAGACTGTGATCTGCCCCCACAGGTGCTAGTTACGGCATCGCACGCAGCTCCTGTATCGACACATCGTGCTCCTTTAAGGTTGGGGGAAACGTCACCCAAATTGGTTGAAGCGAACGCTGCCACAAATGGGCCCTAGAATTGAAAGTTGCGGTAGCAAATAAGAAAAAGGGGGAACATTGTGTTCCCGAGTAACATCAAACTAAATCAGTTGTAGAAATCAATCATCTACTAATTCACATTGTTGTTAGGAGAGAGAAATTAGTTGGAAGGAAACACTGTTTACTAAGAGTGAACCGTGGACGAAGTGGGGGAGTAGAAGAAGAAGGCTGGAGATGATAGAAGCCGTGTAGGAAGGGGGAGGAGGGTACGTATCATCAATAAACAGAATGAACAGATCGGATGGAGTGGAGAAAGAGCACTATGAACTGCAATGCAGAGAGCTAATGATGATACCACACAAAACAATATTACAGCTGTACAAGATAATTTGCACTATGAATGCTTACCTTTCCAATCCTTTTGTTTTTATTAATATATTTTTCAAATAAGATGGATGCATAACCGACATTATCTGAAGACACTAACGTATTTGTGTTGTTCATAGAGGTTGGATGAACAGGAAACCAATTTATGATTCCCAACAACCTACTATTACCTTTTGCAATGAACTTCAATTGGGTTAGCTCTTTGTCCACATCATATTCGTACCTACAATTAATAATATCTATTATTATTTTTACTATGTAGGTAGCTAAAAGTAATTTAACCAGTTTCGAATTCATCATGTTTGCATATTATCCATTACCAAAGGTTGGAGAAAAAACCGCGGTATTTAATGTTTGTAATTGGGCGCAAACCTGTTGAGGGTCCAGAATAAGAGAGGGATAATAAATAAATAAACAAAATAAGAGTTTCTTCTTTTTAGTTTCGATTTAGTACCTATGTTAAGAAGGTTGTACAATTTTTTATTGTTTTCGTATGACTTCATAAATAGGGCTTCACTTGTGACGAAACATTGCACATTTCTTGAAATTATTATTAAGTAATATTATATTGCATAAGAACGAAAGTGTTTAAACGTAAATACTATGTAATCAACTTACTTGTCTCTTTCTACTTTTGGATTCAGTAAATAAGCTGAAGGACTTCTATTAATATTGCAATCCAGCAATGTGCCTGAGCTAATATATATTTTGGCCTCTTCCAGAGAGTTGTGGGCGGATATTATAGCCTGCAAATAAAATACAAAACCTGAATGAACTCTATAAATAATGGATATTCGAAACAGAAATAAAAATAAGTCAGAGGTATCAATTTAGTAGGTTTCATTCTCATTTTCCTACAAAATTGATGTATCTGTTGTTATTGATTTGATATAGCAAACACCAAGGATGCTGCCACAGAGAATTCCGTAAGATGCGAGATACTTCCGCGATCGGACAGTGTGAATGTTGAACGAAAAGTCCACGTTTTGCCCATTTTCGTAAGGGGCTTCACAAGGACAAAAAAAGAAACAAAATAACAATAAAGAAAAATATACAAAACCCTTGTAACGAAGCACTTAGTTTTCATACTGCAATTAATAAACACACTGTGTATATGTGACCGCTACCAATGTTATTGAACATCCGATATCTACAGGAGCTTCGTTACCAAAAGGCTAACGCCGTCTTATCCACCGATAAGTAAACCAGTTGTCGCATGTAATTGATCAGTTTTATGATTGTTCCCGTAGAGATATGTAAATTACTTTTGTAGCATCCGACAGCCCTTGGCATGGGGACGCAAGAGATAGAATTTTAGCTCCTTTAAGTAATTATGAGATGATTTCGGTTTCCTATAATAATTTAAAACGATCATTAAAGCTGCAGGGACGTGCAGTTTATTTCATTATCGCAGACCTGTTGCGACTGACCCAAAATTCCGGATCACAATGAGCATTACTGGGCTACCGAACTTAGAGATTTTAATCCGGCAAATTAAGTAAATGTAAGTATCAGTAGCTAATTAAATGAGTTGCAGTTAATCGCATCCGAACCAGTCGTGAGTGGTTTCATTAGAAGTGCGCTTAATTAATTAAAGAAGTTTTAATTTTTGGATGTAAACAATCCAATCGAATGCATTGCGTCGACTGGGAAAATCGTCGATCCCTCCCTGACATGGCCGAATTCTATTGTTTTGGTGTTTTAATCTAAACGTAAGATTACTTTTTAGCAATTGGTTGCTGTACTCGTGTACGTTTTGCCCGACACCGTACCGTTAGTTTTAAAGGTAAACGTTTGGTATTTTCTTCCGATAATTATAAGGGGAGTATTTCTTTTCTTTTCCTGTATTTGATTTCCCGTAGCTACCGGTAATAAATTTATGTTTTGTTGCTTTCGATCCAGTTAGGACAATCGCTACCGTGTCCGTGTGTCGTAATTCTGTTTTAGATGCTTCCGTTGCCGTTTCTTCAACTGCCTGTGAAATGAAACTCAAAATGCTACTGCAGGGAAAATAACAGGAGAAATTACAATTAGTAGGCGACATGGTAATTTTTTTTAGAAGTAATGCAAGAAGATATGTACTATCGTAAACAGGCTTATCATATCACAGGGATAAATAATGGCACAAGTTACTTCAAGAATGGTACATTCTTCAGAAAAACGCATTTATGATGATATTGCAACTCACATAGTTCACCTAGAAGCAGGGCCGGATTTACAGCTTGTGGAGCCCCCAAGCACAAGATAGGGATGGGGCCCCTTAAAACCAAACAAAAGGTTTAGTAAATGTAACATTTTACACTACTCTACTGGACATTTGAAATGGGAGCTGCCAAGTATGTGCCATTTTGCCGCAAAGGAATCCTGCAATTACTCAGGCCGCCGTTCCCAAAGGGATACATGCAAACCTCTGTGGCACTATTATTTTATAGTAGAAGCCATATAAATCATTGTAAAGCTTCTACCAATGCTGAATTTAATTTAAACATCAAAAATAGCAAGGTTGGGTTCTGCCGTCGCGGTCCTTAAAACCGCATTGTCATATGTGCTAAACGTCATTTTATATGGTGCTTCGTGTCCCATTTGAAATAATAATGACATATATCATTAGAATGCATAATCATCAGTGTTCCACTTTATCTACCCTTGCGGTTAAAGTGATCACTTTATCTACCCTCACAGATATAGAACGGCTTAGCCTACTCATTAAGCTATTAAAATGTCAATTTAACATCTGCTATAAAATAAAGTGTATTTTATATCACATATTAATTTGACAGTTTAACGTGAATGAGTAGACTAAGGGTCTTTAACCGTAATAAGGGTAAAGGTTAAAGTGAAACAAATAATTTTGCATTCCAATGGCATATGTCATTCTTATTTAAAATGGGACGAGGAGCACGATATAAAATAAAGTTTTACAATGATTTCTATGGCTTCTGCTATAAAATAAAGTTTTGTATTATACACGACCATAAAAGAAAACTAACCATCTCGTGAAAGAGAAAGAATTTATTTATAATATATTATACAAGTACGTTACGGGCTCGAATGTGCGTAGAAGTTTGACTGACGGAGAACTACTGAGAGCGGCGACGCGACGGTGCAGTGTTGGGTCCAGGTAACAGGTCGGTTAGTTCTGAAGATCAAAGTTGAATCGAGTCGCGATAGAAATAGGATGAATTGTTGCGGGCCTGTGGCCGATATTTGAACGGTTGCGCTTTTCAGCTGTTTATTGTAAAAGATTGCGTTTCATTTCCGAAACAGAAAAACTAAATTCTGAACCGCTAACAGATAGCGTGGAAAACAATGTGAACCAAATATACAGGGTCGCTATTAAAGATAAATATTGAACCAAAGCCCTCACACTCAAACCATGAAAATTAAAACAGTTCATTATTCATTATTATTAGTTCACTGTGTCTGTTCAACATAACTTCAACATTTTTTAGTATAGTGATACACTATTTACCTTTACAATTCCTCTTCGTAAGGCACTAAACGTTTGAGGAATAAACCCAAGGGTTGAAATATCTATAAGGAGATCCATCATAAATCCACCTGGTGATGAGTGTGTATGCGTTGCACTTAATATTAAATTTTGCTCATTGTAAGAGTCGCCGTATTTCTTTTCGAGATCCATCAGCACCTGAACGCATAGAAATAGTAACAAGGAAACTATGTTGTCATCTTTACCTTGCTTCTTAGGCCCGCTCCGATCATAGCTGCATCTACACTTACGAACACAACCCTTTGATTATCTTCTTCTATAATAAAAGCTCTCGCAAATTGCCGGAGGTGCAGACCGGTACCTTTCTGAAAAGGGTTTGCATATCCAAGCTGAAATAGTCATACACATTCCAAATCACCATATTATCACCATATTAACAATTACTTACGAAATGAATTTGGGCTATCGGTCCAGTAACATCCGCTATCCCGACTCCCACGCGATATTCAGCTATGACGGTGGCCGATAGGATGATACTTATTACAAAAATTGTATTTGGGATTTCAACTGGAATAGTTGTCTTCATGGTGTCTAAAAAAATAATGTTACAGATGATTAGACTGGACGTGTATGTGTAAACGATGTAAGAGTTTTTGATCTTGAACTACCTTCAATACAGGTTTCATCAATGACGTTAAATTCAATGTTATGTTCACGACATTTAAATTAACATGGTCAAACGTAGTTAAAACACCAGTAAAACATTTACTCATGTTACGCATATTAATAATGGGTGGGCTTATAGGGAAGGCACACATTGTCATTTCACTTTTTTTTTTGTTATTCTAAATGTTCGTTTAATCTCATAGTCACGCTTGCAGTATAGTACTTCAATTGAGTTTTTTTTGTGACCACGTCTGCAGACGGTCGTGAATTAAAAACGCAAGGTCGTCTAGTAATTTACGGATTTGTGATTTTTTGGCGGTAACATTCTATTGAAACAATAAAACCAATAATGTTCCTTTACATCCTTTCTTGGCTTCTTTATAGAAAATGTATGAACTTTTCTGCACTTGTTTCGTTTACTTCGCTCTCGCACTTTTGAACTACAATGCAATGTATTTATTAATCAACAAAGATTCCAAGAGATAAGTGAACATGGAATGTGTATTTCTTAGTCAAAATTGATTGGGTTGGACTCGATCTGAGGATCTTTTTAACTTTTAAGGTTGCAAGTGGAAATTTTACCGTTAGATAATTGTGAAGTGTGTACCTATTGAATTCCGTAAGTTTTTACCGAGGAGCAAAGCAATTCAAGAAATGAGTCTATGGATTAGAGGCGGCACTATAATTTCTAATTATTAGTGATTACTCTTGGGGTTGATTGGATCATTCACGACGCCATCGAGAAACAAGCGGATTGGCGAACGAACGGAAAGTATCCAAATGCACTACTTTTCCTGCTCGGGAAATGTGAAGGGCTCTATACAGGGATGGAAAAAATTCAAATTTCAAAAAAGGACCAAGTACCTTTATTGCATTGGATCGCTCGCCAAGTGGAATACTTAAAAGGGAAGTTTCGGAGTTGAAAGACTTTTTGGGGACTTCTGAAGCATTCGACAAATATTTTCTCAAGAGTTTGCCGACAGATAAAAGAATTTAGGTTCACTCCCCCTTTACCTGGAGAACTTCTTGTACCATTTCCACAGTGTAAAGTAAATCGTCCATTATAAAAACAGGATCTGAGAACGTTGGAAATTTTTGGGGAATGTTTCGTGGTATTGATCGGTAAGCTTTTGTAGCCATATAACTGGCGAAAACTCACACAAAAAATGTATTGAAATTTTCTTAACGGTGGTTGAACATTTATCATTCTGTACATTTTTTCCCAGTTGCCAGTGAGTGCAATTTTGGGTTGCCGAAACCGTAGCAAAAGAGAAAAATTTGCTATGGCTAGCATAGACACCACTCGCACACATGCGCATGCGCGATTCTGCCCAAAAGTTTTTCAGCTCTTCCTTTTATGTCTAAGAATATGTGTACCAAATTTGGTTCCAATCGGTTCAGCCGTTTAGCCGATAATGCGAGTACAGACGGACCGACAGACCGACATCGTCAAGATTTTGTTTGATTCGAATTCCTGGTGCTTCAAAACGTGTATTTCCGTCAAAAATGTGGGGGGCCATTTTTTACGCCAATCCAATACCTCCCTTACTAACGTGCAGGTGGAAAAAAAGATCATCCTGGACCATTAGGCCCACAATTTGAGTATCGTTTATAGAGATATTTGTACCTATCAAATTTGACACTGCCATCATCAAATACTACAGTAATAATAAGCCTGGCTTAATAACGACGTGATGTGGAAGGTAAAATCTTGGTATAGTGTTAATGCACATGTCGCCATCAACTGTTGAAATAATGACTACCATCACTTGTTCATGTATCCACGTCCTCGTTGGAAATTTTAGTGGCATGATCTAATGATTGATTCGTGTATGAATTTACAATATTCCTTGCGAAGAAACTCATCCTTAAATAATGTGTTTTCTACAGTATGAAAACGATGGATCGCTGTTTGGAATTACCCAACTGCGAAAGAGTAGAGTTGAATTGAATGGATACAATGAGTTTTCCATCTGAACCTTGAGAGATAGTCTCAGCAAAACGAGTTTCACAAAATTTCACTTCTCTGGATAATAATGAAAATGTACTTTTAGTCTGGACCTTTCCAGTCTGGCAGAACTTGGAACTTGAATCATGCAGCGTTTCTTCAGAGGGCGTACCTAATTCGTGTAAACTTCCTTGGAATAAATGAGTCTTTAAGTGATTAGTTCCAGAAACAAAAGTGCCAAATAATACCCAGCTAAGAATGGACCTCTGTAAGCTTGGTTTATGGTTACCTAATTTGACCTATACATAGGTATCAAAGAATAGAAATGATTCGCGCCAATTAAAATATCCACTAGGACGGATTTATAAAATTTGTTATCAGCTAATTTAATATTAGAAGGAATGTCAATGTTTGGCGCGCGGAAACTCTCTATTCTAAGGTTTTGTGTATCTTTTTTGATAACTAATCAAAAAGTTCGGTTTCAATTTTGTTGTGCAAGGGTGCAATTTTAATTTTTACGGCGCCTGTTAATTGGGAAGTACTCACAATTATACCGATTACTCATATGTTTCGGTTTAGTTTAGATAACAAATCACTGGAAACGAAATTGGTGTCCAAAAGACATCTTGCATAAATCCATTGATTGGCATTAGCCTTTACCTTAACAATTGCCGTGGAGAGTAAAACTTGATTTGTGTGTACACTTTCACATGCTAATGTAGCTTCGGGATGTGAAGGACTTGAAGAGTTTTGTGAATTAGAAGGAGCATTGCAATCATTTGATTCAACCTCATTAATATTTGGCGTAGGATAAGAATTGGACCGCTTTGCTAAACATGCATTTCGATTTTAATGGATTTGAAGAGTTAGCTTTTACAAATCGTTAATTCGTTTGTTTTGTCAAACCGTTGCGTTGCTGTAAACTGAGATGTAAGAACTTAGGGCAAGCATAAAGCAAATGATTTTCTTTGCATAAGACGCACATAATTCTTGATATAGGAAAATGATTGATCTGGAGCAGAGAGAGACCAAACGCATTAGTTGATAGAGAAGTATTAATGCGAATATCTAGAGAACAGAGTGTCGAAAGAGGGTACTCATACTCACAAAGCGGGATTGAAACGTCTGGATAAGACAAACCTATTGGTAATATCAGAACGAAGAACCAAGTGTCGGTATACGCACAAAGAGAAATTGAATACAGAGATATCGTCTCACAAAGTGTCACTTGATCGGCATTTTCGCCCGAGTAAGATTTGTAACGCATTGCTACACTCGGCTTAGCGGTTTATGTATTTACGCGAATATTTACTACCAGTTTGAAATAGATCTTGCATTATCTGAGAATTAATTAAATTTTTTCGCATTATTTGCCTTTTGTTACAATTTTAAACCTATTTTTAGCCAATCGCCGTTGCTCAATCGAAAGGTGCTAATTGGCCGGCATTCAAAACGTTCAGGACTTAAATTTCACAATGAATTCTTAAAAAAGTTACCATTTTGTCGCTACTGTGTACTCACGCATTTAAAATTGTGAAAATGTTGCGAATTTCATAGTAAAAACAATCCTATACCTACTAAAGAGTGGCTTATTTACCGGTACAGTAATGGGATCTTAGAGTCCTTTGTATAGTTATATATCTAAAAAATGTGCATTTCAATATAGAAATCAGTAATGTGTATCCATTAGTGAGAAATAAGTTTTAATGAAAATGATATTTTCGTCAATATTAAATGAGCGCTTTTACTCTTTTAATAATAAAATGAAACATAAGTTCCCTTTAAAAAAATGTATTTTTGTATTATTTCTCAAACACTATAGTGTGTTACCTCTACGCAACTTATTTCCACATAAAAATATACAATAACTTTCCCCAGTAATTTCCAGAATGAATCAATAATATAGGTACCTACCTCGTGGAAACCTAAATGAAAATATTATAAATCTTTATGGAAAAGAAACAATACATCTCATTATGAAAAATCGAAAGCTCCTTACTCCGACATAATTCTTCAACCAGAAAACAAAGCAGAATATATTTTCTATGTAGAATGTAATCGCAAATATCTTTCTCTACAAATAACAAAAGTATTGATAATGATCCTTTCAAGACTGCCCAAAATCTCAACAGCTTGCGCATTATAATGAAACTACATTAGACGTTCTTCTTTACAATCACTTTTAACGGCAATTTGTTTCAATCTTACAAAATACATTTTATAGTTAACAAAAATGCATCAAATTCATGTCTTGGGCAGTGAGATAATGCTTTTAATCTTGTTCACAATGATCTTGGTGCATGAATAACGATTTTGACATGTTTTGATCAAAATCCACGTGGTCGTCAAAAATACATCAAATGCATGTCTTGCGCATTGAGATAATGCTCCCAGTCTTTTTGCCAACGATCTTGTTGCCTGTATAACGATTTTGACATGTTTTGGTTGAAATCCATGTGGCCTCAGAAATATAGGTAATTTAAGCTCTTTTAATCACATGCGGTTATCAAATGTGCACGTGGTGTATTCTTTCAGCATCAAGATAACGCGTTTGAAAGCTTTTACTCCAAATTCGTGTGTAAAGAATATTTTGGGTACATTTTGATCTAAAATTTTTGATCTAGACCATTGAATTGGTACACATCTAAGAGTCATAGGGAATAATCTAGCGAAAGTCCGAACTCGATACATGATCTAAAGGGAATGAAATATGTTGGTTTCTATTATATTGAGCCCGCAATTTTTCCTGTTCCCGATTCACTCGAAGTCGTATAACTTTGGTTCCTGTTGAACCACCTTCCTGAAAATCAATAGCGTCCGACCTTAATCTACAAAGTACCCGTACACCAAATATCAACACAATCGGCCACTTTAAAAAAGTTATAGCGCACACGGACGGACAGACGGACGGACGACAATACAAAACTATAAAGGATCTGAGGATCCTTAAGGTTCTGCATACGCCAGTTATGACAAGTGAGTCCGCTCAGATGTC